TCCCACGCATGCACGTTTACCTGTGGAGGAGACAAAGCATGACTAAAAGGGGTCATAATTTGTTCTACAGAGTATAAATGAAATAAGAAATGAGTAAGACGCTTTTGGCTCAAACAAATAGCAACTTCAAATCTCAACAAACAAATGCTCCGTCCTACATATTGGCAAAAAAATCAGAAAATAAAATACAGGCTGAATAGTCAAGACCTTGTTGATGATCCAAACTCTGTCAAGGAACTTGGAGTACTCATCTCTAATGATCTAAGTGCTAGAGTCCACTGTAACTACATAGCCAAAAAGGCATTAAGAGTTAACTTAATCTGGACTTCCGGTTTGTCAGCTTCGGTGACAGCACGGATTCGCCTTCTCTGCGATCCCTGCTGTGCTAGCCGCCTTGGTGCCTCCGATCCTGACAGATTTGGAGGCTAAGGCTGCCCTGTTGGGGCAGCTGAAGAAAGGGGGGATCCGGACAGGGGTTGTGGGCTATCGCAACCCCCCCCCACAGCCAGCAATAACCCCCTTCTCTCAAGACGGTGGAGCGGCGGTCTTTATGGCCGCCATAAAGAAGCCGGCAACTGGATAAAGAATGCGCAGGAGGAAGAAGGAGTTTTAAAACAAAAGTTTTTTCTTGGTCGAACTGGGACCTTAAGGACATATTTAACACCTGGGAAAGTATTGGCTTGGAAGCTATAATGTTCCCGATTGATGTTTTCAGCTGTGAAGAAAAGTGACGAAAAGGGGAAGTTACTTTCCCTCCAATATGGAATTAACATATGGACAAGGGAAACCAGCCTTTTGATAGAAGGTAAAACCTAAACTCCTTTGTTATAAGTGGGAAGGGAGAGGCTTGGGAAAAAAAATTTTTACTCTAAGACTTTGCTGGAGGAGATGCCTTGAAGATAAAGAGAATAGAAATTAATTCTAAGAAAGATTTAAAGCACAGATTGGACGTTTTTTCTTTCCCTAATTTGACTTCACCCCTAGAAGAGAAATTGTAAAAAGAAGAAGCTTGTACTCTGCCTGGACTGTTTGATGACTGTGGGATTTTGGGACTTTTGGGAACTGTTTTAAGTTTGGAAACAACTGATTGGCTTAATAATAAGAAGAGGATACAGAAAGAGAAGAAGAAACAGTTTAAAATGGCTCTATCTCTTGATGAACTAAAAAAACAATATTTAAAAATAAAGAAAGAAGGCAAAGATGTTATGGGAGAAGTCCTTTGTTTCCTAGATATGGCACTTGTCATGTGTCAGCAAATTAAACAACAGCTGGAAGAAGCCGAGGAAGAAGAAGCCATTTTTAATGAACTAAACAGTGTGACTAAGAAAGAAAGGAGAAAGAGAGGAGCGAAAAGGAAGGACTTAAGAAATAAAAAAATGTTTATGAAAGAGAAAAAGAAGATGCTAAAACAACAGAATGCTAGAAAGCAAAAGGAAAGAGGAATGCAACAGAAAGGGGAAATCAAGAAGGCAGAGGTTTGGAGAGGAGGGGGTAAAAAGTTTAGGCGGGCTAAGAAGGAAAGGGAAAAGGGGGAAAAAAGTTACAAAGGTATAAAACAAGATGGAGAAAAGGAAATTTTTTTTAGGGATAATGGGTAATATATGGGATTTTTTTAAAAAAAAGGGGGGGATTCTGCAAAGTACACATGAGTATTGTAATAGTGGTATTTGTATTATAAGTAGATAATCAGAACTTTTTAAGATCTAATAAAAGACTAAAATATCAAGGTATAACTTTAAAAGGTTTAATAATGAATGATATTAAGTTTTAATAAAATACTAAAGGAAATGTTTAAAATATTAGTTTAAATATAGAGTTTAATGGACTAATGTGTTGACTGTTATGGATTTATTATTGTAGTATTGGTTTCTGAAATAGTAGAATGTACTAAGCAGAATCTGATTGGGATTTAGGTGTTATTTTAAATTTTAATTTAGGGGAATGATAGAAAGGCATCATACTCCGATTAGTGATTCCAGGGGAAACTATTCTTTTTTAAATTGGAAATGAGACAGAGGTAAATGGAGAAATGGACAAAAGATATAAAAATATTTTTCTTTAAAGCAAGATTAAATATATAACACAGAATTAAGATGAGGCAAAAGTGGAGAGGAGTTATATAATAGATATAGAATGGTAAATAAGAAGGGTAATGGTATATAAGAAGAGCATGAATTCAATTGAAGTCCATACAAAAAGAGGTAATCTGGGGCCAAGTTACTTTCTAGAAGAAAGTTTTATGTTTTTATGTTTATGTCTTATGTGTGTGTGTTTAATTAAGAATTAAATAATAAAATCTCGGAGGAAGACTAGATGAGAATAATTATAAACAAGCCAGAGGAAAATATAAATGTGATGACTGAATACCGGATAAATTAGAAAGGAAATATGATTGAATAATGATTAAAGAGAAACAATGTGGAATCTGGTAAAGGGAATTTACGTGTTTATATGGAAATGGGATAAATTATAAGTACGTGATATAAAGCAATATGTTACCTGCCTTGTAAAGATCTACAATGGAAAGAGGTTTTATGTTTTTAATGTTTAATGATGTTTTGTTTTGTTTGTTTGTTTGTAAAATCAATAAAACTTGTTTTTTTTTAAAAAAAAGAGTTAACTTAATCTTACATAGCTTTTTCTCTGGTAATATTACACAACTAACTAGAGCCTACAAAACATTTGCTAGACCAATACTCGAATACAGCTCATCAGTCTGGAACCTACATATCTGATATTAACACAGTTGAGAAAGTTCAGAAATATTTCACAAGAAGAGTTCTCTACTCGTTGCAGAATACCTTATGCCACCAGACTTGAAATTCTAGACCTAGAAAACCTAGAACTATGCCGCCTTTGGTCCGATCTAAGTATAGTATATAAAATCATACATTGCAATGTGCTACCTGTCAATGAATACTTCAGCTTCAACCATAGCAATACAAGAGCAAACAATAGACACAAACTCAAGGTTAATCGCACCAAACTTGATTGCAGGAAATACAACTTCAGCAACAGAGTGGTCAATGTCTGGAATACTCTGACTCTGTGGTTTCTTTCCCAAACCCCAAAAACGTTAACCTTAGACTGTCTACTATTGACCTCACCCCTTACCTCAGAGGTTTGTAGGGGGCGTGCATAAGTGCACCAACATGTCTACCGTCCCTGTCCCATTGTTCCTTTTATTTTTCTTATATGTATCCATGTATTCATAACTATGTTTTTACTTATACCTGTTATCTTGTAAGCAATTGACAAACCAAATAAAATAAAATAAAAATTATTTTTTTTACCTAATCCAAAGGGCAGAAACTCTTCTCGATCAATGAATTTTCCATCCTTATCTAAAAAATTATTTGGATTGAATTTTTTGGGTGTCTCCCATTGTTCAGGATCAAGAAGAACAGAACGCAGGTCTGGGACGATAAAGGTCCCCTGTTTAAAAAAAAAGATGAATCAAACAGAACAGTTTTATAAAGGAAAGAGGCAAAGAAGTTCAAACAATATT